GTTTTAGGGTTTAGGGTTTCAAGGGTGGTTTTAGGGTTTAGGGTCTAGGGGCCTGAATAATTACCAATACTATTTTGGGGGGCTCCTTCTTATAGTTATAGTTTAAGATACCCCGCAGCCCTACTCTAATTACTAAGTCCCTTGCATTACTTAAAGGATCATGGGACCTAGTAAGTAGGGTTATAACTAAGGTAACTATACTTATAACCCCAATTAGGGGCCTTATAACCTTACTTGCTAGGTCCCATGATCCTCCAAGTAGGGCTTTTCAACGGAGTTTTAGAGGTATTGGTCTCTTTGGGAACCCCGCCTAAACAGGATCCTCACGTGTGCGTCTGTGGTGTTGGTGTTTAGGGTTTAGGGTTTAGGGTTTAGGGCCATCGGCCACCAGCCAAGACAACCTTAGACACAAAGCCAAAGCCTAAAAACCTGCGCCCCGTGATTGAAGGTTCATGGATAGTTATACCTGGGGTATAGAAGGCTTTATGAGGTTTGTGCGTGGGTTCTTCTGTAAAGGGTGTTGTAGGGGGCTCATGGGTAGCTATTTGCAGGGTCGTGAATTCCACCTGACCTGAGAACAGGTATCGCTATCGCTAAACCCTGAACCCCAGCTGGCCATGGTCCTTTAAGTATTATGTTCCATACGCGAAGGATTACCTCCCTCAGCCACTGCGAGTTGGACTCGCTCTGAAGAACGCACTTGGCTTCCCTATACCGACCCCGTATAACGAACCTTATACTAGTAGCTCTTGTAGTCACCCTTGTGGAAACCCTTCTAGACCCCTTTACACAGGGACCCTTATAGGAACCCTTTTAGTAGTCGTAACAGTGCCCGACATAACCTCGGAGGCAAGCCCCTCATTCGCGGCTCCACCTGGCTCAAAAAGGGCAAATTCTTCCCTGACAAGTTTCGGAACAACTTCAGAGAAGTTATTGGAGCCGACGCGCTCTTTGCCATCGAAGAACCATGGCTCCTTGGCTCCTTTTGAGTAGTTCATGCTTGATGCTTGATGCGGATGTATGAGGTGTTTTCAGCTTTATTATGGGTTTTGTAGAAGCCTCTGGGGGTTTTGAATTTCGAGGATATAACTTAAGATTTAGGGCCGGCATGTTTCTCTCGTGGATTTTTCCGCTGCCCCACGGAACATTCAAACTCCCAGAACCTCAATCCTAACGCAGTACTTCTTCCGCCCACTCCTGAGCCCCTATAAACCCTAAGCCCCAAACCCCTAAACTCCCAAACCCCAAACCCCCAAACCCCTTAAGCCCCTAAACCCAAACCCCGTAACCCTCAACACCCTCCTTGGAGGATCCTTCTGCTTGGTACTGCGAGGGTTCTATCAAGGGTCCTGCGATCTAAACCCTAAGCTCTAAGGGTTTAGGGTTAGGTTTAGGGTTTAGGGGTTTTAGGGTGTCATAAGGGGTTCTAGAAGGGTTCTATAAAAGGGCTCCATGGGGGTGCTCTTAGTAGTAGAGTAGGTAACCTTTAACCTTTTTGGTGCAATATAACCCCTATATAAACCCAAATATGGCGCAAGTAGGAAACACTAAACCCTAAACCGTGCCTCTAAGGGTTACAACTACAAACAAGGTCTCTTTTTCAGGGTTCTAGAAGGGTCTCTTTGAAAGAGTTACCACAAGGGTCCCTTTTAAAGCGTTCTAGCAGGGTTGTACAGGGGGAATGTAGGGTGTCCCATAAAGGGTTGTTCTGTCAGGGTTGGTTTTTGAAAGAGTTCTATAGAGGGTCCTATACTGGCGCTTGGAGGTGCATGCGACGTAGCAATTAAGGTTATACATACCTTACTTGTAAATGCAGCCCATATTCACAACCCTGGTTACTAGGTCCCGTGGTTGTTTCGAGCAACAAGCTCACCCCCAAACCCTAAACCTGAACCTACCCTAAACCCTAAACCCTAAACCCCCAAACCCTAAACCCTAAACCTGAACCTTCTATGTAAGCCCTGAGCCCTCTAAGCCCGGAGGGATGTGACGAACAAACTACAACCCTGGACATTCAAAAACCCTTGGCATCTCTGTCCCTACACCCTAACTCCCTGAATAATACAGGGGCCTTAATAAATAGAATAGGGTTTTGGAGCCCATTCTACTATAATTATACTAAGGAACCAGCAAAAATAGTATTGGTAATTACTTAGGCCCAGAAATTCATTGCAAGGCGTCACCAAACCCTCTAGCAAACTCATAAAAGCTTTGGAAACTCTCAAAAGATCATCAACAAAAACCTAAGCCATAACACTTCAGCGATATCCCCCACTAAGCCCTGAACCCCAAACCCCAAACCCCAAACCCCAAACCCTAAACCCTATAAACCCAAAACCCTAAACGCTAAACCTTAAATCTCAAACCCTAGACCCTAAACCCCGAACCTCAAACCCGAAACCCCAAACCCTAAACCCTAAACCCTAGACCCTAAACCCCAAACCTCCGAAACCCGCAAACCCGACAACTTTCGGATACCCCAGGCCCTAAAGCGAACCCTAGTCTACAACCCTATAGTACCCTTAAAAGCCTTAAAAAGAACTCCGATAACTCAAGGCCCTGTCCCTAGACTCTAAGCCCTAAGCCCTAAACCCTAAACCCTAAACCCAAAACCCTAAACCTCTAAACCCCTAAACAAAGGCTGCCCAATTGAAAAGAACT